AGAGGAAGGCAGAGTGTGGAGTGGGAGGCGGGGCAGGTGCGGCAGGGCCCGGGAGAGCCTGGCCCCGAGCCCACGGGAGCCACGGAGAGTCCTAGGGGGAGAGGGGAGAGTGAGCTCACCTGGCCCCATAGGAGAGTGGCCAGAGGGCAGCAGGGTCTGGTGGTGGGCGGAGCTGGTGGGCCTTGTGGGGAGGGAGAGGGAAGGACCGGGAGCCGGTGTGAGGGGAGGCGGGTGCGAGGGCTCCAGGCCAGGGGTCTGCAGTGTGTCCGTCCGAGGGATCTGGCCAGGGCGGCAGAGCCGTTTTGCAGCTCTGGTGAAAAGCCAGGTGGGCTCAGCCGGCGTGGCTCAGGGGTTGAGCATCAGATGGGAACCAGGAGGTCACAGTCAGGGCTCCTGCCTGAGTTTCAGGTTCGATCCCCAGTAGGAGGCCTGTAGGAGCCAGCCGATCCATGAAGCTCTCTCATCATTGATGTTTCTCTCTCTCTCTCTCCTTTGCCCTTCTTCTCTGACATCAATAAAAATGTATTAAAGAAAATAAAAAAGCCCTAGCCAGTTTGGCTCAGTGGCTAGAGTGTTGGCCTGTGGACTGAAGGATCCCAGGTTCGATTCCAGTCAAGGGCATGTACCTTGGTTGCGGGCACATCCCCAGTGGGAGGCATGCAGGAGGCAGCCAGTCCATGATTCTCTCTCATCATTGATGTTTCTACCTCTCTCTCCCTCTCCCTTCCTCTCTGAAGTCAGTAAAAATCCTTCTATCTAATAAAGAGGGAATATGCTAATTGAACATCACTCTGTCACAAAGATGGCTGCACCCACAGCTGAGACCAAGTTCCCTTAAAGAGCCTTAATGAACAATCAGCAGGGACCTGAGGCTACACCCGCCCCATCCCCTGAGGCTTGACAGAGGACCTCAAGGCATGCCTCCGCCCCATCTGGGGGACCTCAGGCCAGGACCCCGTCCTGGTGCCAGGCCAGGAGAGCTAAGGCCATGCCCCCTGCCTGGTGGGACTTGACAAGGGTGGGACTGGCCGGGTCTGGATCTAGCCCAGTTGAGGAGTAGGGGTGGGGCTGGGTCTAATGTGGTTTTGAGTGGCATGGGGTGGGCAGGGTCTTGACTCTGGGTCCCCCTCTTATTTTATTTACTTATTTACTTTTTAATATATTTTATTAAATTTTTACAGAGAGGAAGGGAGAGGGATAGAGAGCTAGAAACATCGATGAGAGAGAAATTTCGATCAGCTGCCTCCTGCATGCCTCCCACTGGGGATGTGCCCGCAACCAAGGTGCATGCCCTTGACCGGAATCGAACCCGGAACCCTTCAGTCCCCAGGCCTAAGCTCTATCCACTGAGCCAAATGGTTTTGGCAAGGTCCCCCTTTTAATGTGCATAAATTTCGTGCACCAGCGCCACTAGTATATTATAAAGAAGAAGGAGAAGAAGAAGAAGAAGAAGAAGAAGAAGAAGAACAAGAAGAAGAAGAAGAAGAAGAAGAAGAAGAAGAAGAAGAAGAAGAAGAAGAAGAAGAAGAAGAAGAAGAAGAAGGAGGAGGAGGAGGAGGAGGAGGAGGGGGAAAAGAGGAAGAAGAAGGAGGAGGAGGAAAAGAGGAAGAAGAAGAGGAAGAAGAAGCCGCCAGATGGAGACCCAAGTGGTGTCGGCAGCCCAGGAAGTGAGCCCAGCCCTCCAGCCTAGCCAGCGGCCACTGTCCTTCCAGTCGCTCAGGCCACAGCCTCCGTGCCCCCCTCAGCCCTTCCCAACCTGGTCACTCAGCGAGTCGCTGGGACACACCAACGCGGGCTGCCCTATGGGAGGTGCTGGGGGCAGAACTCCCTGAGGTGGCACAATCAGCAAAGCGTTCGAGGCGACGTGGGCACGGCCCCGGCAGTCCGCAGGAAACGTGGCCCCGACAGGGCAGCCATGCCAAGGCCTGAAGGTGGACTGCGCATGTGTATCTGCTCGGACCCGGGCCGAGCAGGCCAGAGTGATTCTGGGCCATGGTGAGGACTTCCAGGAGAATGCAGAGCAGAGGCCCACCCGTCTTGGTGTGGAGGTCAGCAGTGCAGACAAACAGGAGCCCCCAGGCCGGGCACTGGGGCGAGGCAGATGGCAGGTTTGGACAGGGCGTGGCCACCTGCTCAGCTCACACGGGCCCTCGGCATCGGGCGCTGGTCACCCTCTTGCCCCTCGTTTCCTAATGAGCAGGACCCGGGCAGCTTTATGCACCAGAAGCTGCCAGTCCTCTGGGCTGGGGTCCAGGTGTCCGGGCTGCAGGGGCCAGGGAGGTCCTGCCTGCCCTCCGCCCTCTGCCCTCCAGGGCTCAGGCATTCCCCAGGCGTGTGGGTCCTGCCTGCAGGCCCCTCTCCTTCCTTTATTTTTAAAAATATATTTTATTGATTTTTTTACAGAGAGGAAGGGATAGGGATAGAGAGCTAGAAACATCGATGAGAGAGAAACACCGATCAGCTGCCTCTCACACTCCCCCCCTGGGGATGTGCCCTTGATCGGAATTAAACCCGGGACCCTTGAAACCGCAGACCAATGCTCTATCCACTGAGCAAACAGGTTAGGGCGTTTTTCTTTTTTTCTAGAAATATCTTTATTGATTTCGGAGAAGGAGAGAGAGATAGTACATCAGTGATGAGAGAGAATCATGGACCGGCTGCCTCCTGCACACCCCACACTGGGGATCGAGCCCACATCCTGGGCATGTGCCCTGGCCGGGACCGAACCAGGACCTCCCGGTTCATAGGTTGACTCTCAGCCCTGAGCCACGCCGGCCGGGCGGGACTCCCTTCTTATGGGGACACCCGTCCCTGGGTTTACCGCCCCCCACGCCCCAAGTCCAGGATGATACCTTGAGACCCTTCACCTGCTCACTTCTGCAAAGACCCTTTCCTGAAGTCACTGCCTCAGGTCCCAGCTCACCACCATGGCCTTCGGGGTTCCCCTTACAAATCTGGCCTCATCTCCCACGCTGGCCCCTCCCCTGGGCTGTGGCCTCAGCCCCCTCCGAGAGGCCCGCCCCTTACCTCCTCCAGCCTGCACCCCACCTCCTGCAGCCTGCACCCCAATGCCACCTTCTACCTGAAGCCCCTCCGCTGAAGCGAGCACCCCCTGCCCTGGCTGGAGCAGCTCAGTTGGCTGAGCCTCGTCCCCGGCACCAAAGGTTGTGGGTTTGATTCCCAGTCAGGGCACATGCCTGGGTTGTGGGCTCCGTCCCCAGTGGGGTGCACGCAGGAGGCAACAGATCAGTGTTCCTCTCCCTCTGCTTCTCCCTTCCTCCTCTCACTCCAAAATCAATGAGCACGTATCCCCAGGTGAGGATCAAGACAAGAGGAGCGCCCTGCACCCCCAAGATTTCCCTCCATGACCCTGAGCCTGCGGCGCCTGGCACGTGAGGGTACCCCTCAAGTGTGTGAGTGGCTGGCTCGGGCTGGGGGTGAGCTGAGAGTCTGCCGGCAGGGAGGAGGAAGGGGGTGCCTGGCCGTGGTCGCAGAATCACTGTCACACCGTGGGGCCACGCAGAGTGGGGGTGGGGCAGCAGCGGCTGACGGGGACCCAGGCTCACGCCGGAGAGCTGGTGAGGGGACAGCTATGCCCAGGGCCTCGGGGGACCAGGGAGACCGAGGGTCCGGGAGGAGCAGGGTGTGGTGGGGGCTTCAAGGGGAGGCCCTGGGTGAGGCGGGCAGGTGCTGGTGCTGGTGCTGGTGCTGGCATGGTTGGCACAGAGCTGAGAGGAAGGGAGACCCTGAGCCCAGCGTTGGGGGCAGGGGGTCTGGGAGGAGGCGGGGCTGCCGGGGGCCTTCGCGGGCTGTGGGAGGGGGCTGGACAGAGGGTCCTGATCATCTCAGATCATCTCACGGGGAGTGGGGGGGTCCAGAGCCCTCCGCCCGCCCGGCCCCCAGACCTCGCCGTCAGGCCCCTGCACAAGCCCCCAACTCTCTCTCCTGCCCCCTTCCAGCCCTCCATCTTGAAGGCTGACGTCATTGCCTCCAGGCTGCCCCCGTCCCCATTGGATTCACTCAGCGAGCTCAGCTTGAGCAACATGGCGGCCCTGTGGCTGTCCCCCAGACCCCCAAGGACTGGCTTGAGAAGGTTCACAGCCCCCCAAAGCTGCCTGGACCGGGGCGCAGTCTCCACTGCCTTGGTCCGGGGTGGGGAGAGTGGGTCAGGCCTCCAGCACCTTGGGTGCCAGCCTTGCTGTAGGGGTGCATGCAGTAGGGGAACCAGCCCCACAGTCAGGACCCCCAAAGGCTAAGGTCAGAGTGGGCAGGGGAGGAGCTCCCAGTGGCATCTGCTTCTGGGACAAGGGGGGCACCCTGCACCCCCCAAGATTTCCCTCCTGAAAATTTTCCACCCTGAGCCGGCGGCGCCTGGCACGTGGGGTACCCCTCATGTATGTGAGTGGCTGGCTCGGGCTGGGGGTGAGCTGAGAGTCTGCGGGCAGGGAGGAGGAAGGGGGTGCCTGGCCGTGGTCGCAGAATCACTGTCACACCGTGGGGCCATGCAGAGTGGGAGTGGGGCAGCAGCAGCTGACGGGGACCCAGGCTCACGCCGGAGAGCTGGTGAGGGGACAGCTATGGCCAGGGCCGTTGGGGACCAGGGAGACCGGGGGTCGGGGGGAGCAGGGTGTGGTGGGGGCTGCAGCGGGGTGAGGAGGCTTCCCTTGGGGAGAGGGCGAGTGTCTGCCTGGGCAGGTGGGCGCACAGGGGACCCGAGTTCCCCCACCCCCACCCCGTCTCCAGCCACAGTCGCCATTTCCGGAACCTTCAGAACCTGCCCAGGGCCCACCACCCACAGCAGAAGGCTCTGCCCCCATGGGCCCTGCCCCCTGCACCCTCTTTGTTTGAGGTTGTGGTCCCGGGTCCCCCTGACCCCCCAGAGGTGCAGACCCCAGTGCCATCCTTTCCCTGAGCTGTGAGGTCCCCCCCCCAGGCGCCCCCCTCCCAGGTGCCCCCCGCCCGCAGCCCCGAACCCCAGAAGAGAGCAGAGGACGCAGAGATGCATTTGAAAATTTTATTGGGTTTGCGAGCATCAAGGTTAGAGACGGAGCCCAGGAACTGGGCCCCGCCGGAGACAGCGAGTTAGAGGGAAGAATCGAGGCGAACACGGCCGCTGGCAAAGGGGGCAGCGGCGATGACACGGTGACAGGGTGTTCTGCGCGTGGGGGGGTCTCCAGCTGGTGGCACAGGGGGGACAGAGGGGTCCCGCTGGAGACGGTTGTGGGGAGAACCCGGGGGAAGAGACGAGATGGACGGCCACACCTGGGCACGGGGGTGAGTGGGGAGCCAGGTCGGATGGAAGGGACCCTGGGAGAGCTGCTGAGTGGGGGGCACAGAGGAGGGTCGGCAGATGCCCCGGGCGCCCGTCCCCGCGAGGCGAGGAGGTAACACTGGGTGGGGAGGGCGCCCGGCGAATGGGCGGGCGTTTGGGGGTGCCTCGGAGTCGTTTTGGATCTCGGGCCAATCTGTGGGTGTCTCCAGTCAGGGCAATTTGGTCTTTGGGTTCCGCCAATGTTCCGAACGGCCCATTCCCCGGGCACCTGCCGAAGCCCCTCTGTGCCAGAGGGCAGGCTGGCATGACCGCCCCCGGGGTCACGCCAGCCCCGTCACTGGGCCCTGAAGCCTCGGGCCTCTAGATTGCTAGTCGGGCCGCCCGCGGGGGGGCTGCGCTGGGGGCAGGAGTGGGGGGAGGTAAACCCCCAGCCGCCCGCGTCCCCGCGGCGCCCTAGGCACGAGCATGAGTGGTGGCCGGCCCGTGCCAGGCCCGGGGCCTCAGGGCCAAGCAACCCCAGTTGGTTGACAAGTCAACCTGGCAGCTCTCTGCTCTGCTGGGCTCCCCCCTGACCCCCCCGACTGCCCGGCCTCGCCCCGCCCACCGCCTCCGGGAGGCCCAGCAGAGCCAGAGCCTCCCGGGGAGGACAAGACGGGGTGCCGAGGGGGCGGGCAAGATGTCACCGAGAGGCGGGGGGCGCGGGCCCCAAGTGCTCGGAAGGCGGCCACCTGCTCACGCCCGATGAAGCCCTTCTTCTCACGTGCGAGGTCCCTTCCCCCCCGGCCGCCGCCGGGGGCCCCCTCCTGATGGCCTCCGAGCACCTTCCTGACACCTGGGGAACACCGCCCCGCCCCTCCTCCGCCCCTCAGGACCCCCGGGGACCAGCCACCATCCCCGGGAGCCAGGCCGGGCAGTGGCCCTCTCATTCCCCTTGGACTTCTCGGCGGGGTGTTGTGGCGAGCACCCCACAGAGACTCCCACTCTCAATTCTACCCAAGCGACAGGGACAGATTAAAAAAAAAAAAACGCAGGGAGATAAATGGCGGGGAGCAGGCCGTGGTGGTGGTGACAACGAAGGCTTGCGCTTGGCTTTGGTCGCTGCTCCCCTGTTACGGGCGGGAGGTTACATGAGAGCGCGAGGAAGCGAAGGGAGGGGTCAAAAAAAAAAAGGAAAGAAGCCCCAGGAGCATCGAATTAAAGAGGGGAAATAGATCAATTGGCGTCAATTTGGGGTTCCGATTTGGGTCTGTAATTCTGCAGGTCTCCTCAACACATTCGCTCTCTGACATTTGGGGCCAAAACCTCTCCAGCCAGTGCCTCCCCCAGAGCACCCCCACTGGGCCCCCACTGCCCCCCACCCACCCCTCCAACCGCCAGACTTCCCACACTCCCCGTCACCTTCGCCGGCCTCCCGGGGGGGCCTCATTGCTGAGAGCTGCCCCCAGGAGGCCGGCGAAGGTGAGCCCAGGTGCGCGGGCCAGGGCCCGGGTGTCAGGTGCACCTGGGGGTCAGGCTACGGGGCGAGGGGGCATGCCTTGCTTGGGTATAGCACCTCCAAGTCTGGCCGCTTCCTGTCCTCGCTGGCACCCAGGATGGCGGGGTGCGCAGATGGGTCTGGGGGCATCGGCTCACACTGCGGGGAGGGGGGGCCGTGGTGACAGACAAGGGCCCCCCCTCCTTCATCTCAAACGGATGGAACCGCCGAGGCGGTTGTGGCAGGGCTGGGAGGGGAGCTGGGGCATGAACATCGGCAGCAGAATTTGGGATGGAACTCGGTCAGATCAGATTGGCACGAAGGGGCGGGGGGGGGGGGGGTCTAAACCAATTTTACATCCATCCTGTAAGAGAGTGTGTGTGTGTGTGTGTGTGTGTGTGTGTGTGTGTCTGTGTTGTGTGTGTGTGTGTTTATGTGTTGTGTGTGTGAGAGAGTGTTTGTGTATGTGTGTGTGTGTGTGTGTGTGTGTGTGTGGTGTGTGTGTGTGTGTGAGGGTGTTTGTGTATGTGTGTTTTTAAGCCAATTTGTTTTTTAGTGTATTTTCAGCCAATTGAATTTTTTAGGATTTTGGTGGGGTTTTTGTTTTTGTTTGTTTGTTTAAGGCCAATTGGATTTTATGGTGTTTTTAAAAAGCCCATTAGTTTGGGGGGCTTGGTGTGTGTGTGTGTGTGTATGTGTATGTGTTTGTGTGTGTGTGTGATGTGTGTTTGTGTGTGTGTGTGTGTGTGTGAGGTAGAATAGATGTGTAAGATTTGGGTGTGGGGTGGGGGTTTTACAGGATGGATGTTGGGGTTCGTGCCAATTAAGTTTAATTAGTGCCGATTCAGGTGTTCATGTCCCAGGTCCCTCCTCTGGTGTCAGGTAGAGGTGGGGAGCCGAGCCGGGGCGAGGCTGGGTGTGGGCGGCCAGTGCAGCTAAGAGTGCCCGGTCTAAAGGGCAGGGGCGCTGGGAGGCAAGGACATGCCCACCTGAGAATTTGGTCCCTCCGTTCTCCTGGATGGTCAAGGACTCGAGCTCAAGGCCAATGTGACTCGAGGTCCTGGGGGAGGAGACGGAGGGGGGGGGCCGAATTCTTTTACTTGCCAATTGTTTTTAGCCAATTCGTTTTTTAGTGTATTTTCAGCCAATTGAATATTTTAGAATTTTGGGTTGTTTTTTTTTTAAGGCCAATTGGATTTTTGGTGTTTTTAAATAGCCCATTAGTTTTAGGGCTTGGTGTGAGTGTGTGTGTGTGTGTGTGTGTGTGTTTGTGTTTGTGTGTGTGTATGTGTTTGTGTTTGTGTGTGTGTTTGTGTTTGTGTTTGTGTGTGTGTTTGTGTTTGTGTGTGTGTGTTTGTGTGTGTGTGTGTGTTTGTGTTTGTGTTTGTGTGTGTGTGTTTGTGTTTGTGTGTGTGTGTTGTGTGTGTGTGTGTGTGTGTGTGTGTGTGTGAGATTTAGATTTTATTGTAATTTGGAGTGATAATTTGGTTGAATAATTTGGCCGAATAGTTTGGTCGAATTATTGCTGGGGATAATTTGAATAATTTGGTTTAATAATTTGGGGGGATATTTGAAGCCAATTGGTTTTGTACATTTTGAGGCTGTTGAATAATTTGGGGGGGTATTTTAAGCCAATTGTTTTTGAAGCTGTTGAATATCCCTGCGGGATAATTTGGGGGGATATTCAAAGCTAGTTGGTTTTGTACATTTTGAGGCTGTTGGGGGGTAATTTGGGGGGATATTTTAAGCCAATTGATTGAGCCGTTTTGAGGTAGTTGGCCGATGGAAGGGGCCGAGGGCCGTAGCCTGACATGGGGAGGTTGGGGCAGGGGGCGGCCAGGGGCACGCTAGGAGGAGGAGGTCGGCGCAGAGAGGTTTTGGGGACCTGATGGGAAGTCCCGGGACCTGGTGGGAAGTCCGGTCAGGAGCGCAGGAGGAGGGTGGGGCCGTTCTGCAGAATCACGCTGGTTTGGCTCACTTCCGATCGCTGGACGCCTCTGGGGAGGCTCCCCCGCGGGCAGCGGGGTCGTGCGTGGCCAGGGCATTCAAGGGGCGCTGCTGGCGTTTGGCCTCCTTGAAGGCTTCCAACTCCCTGGCCAGCATGTGACCGCGACGGACCCGCAGGAGGGCGGGCAGGCCTCGGCGCAGGCGTTGGGAGGGCTGCGAGGCGCTGGGTTGGAACTGCTTGCCCGCGGGGTATTTGGGGGCGTTGTCCTGCGGGGGGAAGGGCCGGTCAGGGGGCCAGCTCCCCCGGCGAGGGGCTCGCCCTCCCCCTCCGGAGCCAGCCCCCCTCGGGCGGGGGAGGAGCCTTTGTTCTCACCGGAAGCACGGTCGGGAGAGTCGACACATCCCTCTCGGACTTGGCGGGGGTGGCACAGTAGGTCTCCAAAAGTGCCAGGTCGCAGCTGCGGAAGCAGCACTCCTCCACGATCCCGTTGCCACGGTTGCTGCGACGGCTCGCACGGCCGGCTGGTCTGCCTGTGGGCGGGCGGGGGGCGGTCAGCGCTGTGCCCCAGAGAGGAGGACCCACCCACCCCGCTCCTCCCCGTCCGGACTGAGAACCGGCACAGCCTCAGGGTCCCCAGACCCCGGGCGGCTGGGGAAATGGGCTCAGAGGGCCGCCCCCCACCTTCTGGGACCGCAGGGTCCCGGGCGCGAGGGGCCCCCTGAGCTAAGCAGGGGCCGGCGGGCGGCCCACAGCCCGGGCGCTGAGACAGGTAGGAATGGGAGGAGGAAGAAGAAGACGGGAGGAGAGGAGTGAGGACCTGCAGAAACCACGCCCTCCTCTCCTCCCGTCCCCCCCTCGCTCCCCCAGGCTCCACGTCTCAGCCCTCCGCTGGGTCCCGTGGGTGGGGGCGTGGCCCCGCACCCCTTCAGGGAGCCTCGCTCTGGGGGAGGACGGGCAGGGGCTTCAGGATTAAGCATCGGGGATGCTTTTCCAAGAGAAGCTTTGAAACGGCCAGGCCGGCACGTCCCTCAGGGCGAGCAAGGGGAGGCTGCAGCAGAGAATGCCGACAGCCAGTGCCAGCGCCAGGTGTGGCAGACACGGGGGCTTTTGTTCCCATTGATTCCCAGCCCCTTTTATCAAATCGTGAACTTGATAAAATGTTCCCCACGGCACATCCAGGAGTGTGCGCCCATTGTCAGAGTGTCAGGCCCCAGCCACCCCACCGCCCCGCTCTCAGGGGCCCAGCACTCGTGGGCGCTGCAGTGGGTGCCCTCCCAGCCCCGCCCGCAGCACTCACTGAAGTAGAAGCCGCGGTCCCCACAGACGAACTGCAGAGTGTCCACGAGCTCCCCACCGCACAGGGTCTCGCTGGGGCGGTAAGCAGCATAGCAGCACGAGGCGAAGGCCAAGAAGGCAAGAAGCACCAGCATCGACTTCCCCACTGGAAGCGCCATGGTTCTGGGGGGAGAGAGAGACTGAGCCGGCTGCCCGCCGGCTGGCAGGGCCCCACACTCGGCGCCTGCACGCCGACGGAGGCAGACGGGGGGCGTCTGAGCGGTTTGATTGGCAGCGAGGGCTGGTCAGTGACTTCACGGGGGAGGGGGCTCCCCATTGTCACCGCGGCAGGGGCCAGCGCTGGACGCGGGACCTGGCCTCCAGCCTATGATGTCATGAGGGCGGGGCCAGCACCAGGCGGCGGCCACTCCTGGGTCTCCCAGCGCCAGCCAAGATGGCAGACGGCCCCACCCCACCCCACCGCCGGGCAGCCCCAGCATCCCAGAGGACCCAGACTGGGGCCCTGAGGTCGGACCCCTCAAGGCTGTCGACAGGCAGAGCACGGGCCAAGGATCCGATGGCCAGCACGACTCTGGGGGGGCCTGTTCTCCTGACGCCCCCAGCCCCCCAACTCCAGTCTGCCCTGGGCACCCCAACAGCCGCAGCAAAGTCAAAGCCTTGGGGTCCCTTCGGGGTCCCCCTCCCCACCCGGGAGCGGGAGCGGGAGCAGGTGAAGCCGCCCGGAGACCAGACCGAGTTCCTCGGTCCTGTTCGGAAGGAGTGGCAGTCTTAGGACACACCCCCCTGCGAGGCTGTGCGCCCCGTTAGGACTGGGAGACTCAGCAAGACACCCCGACGGGGTGCCGAAGTTGGGAACCCCTCAGGCGGGTGCCCCCAGCCTGGCCCTGCAGCCCCAGGCACAAGCCCACACAAGGGCTGGGTGTGCTGCCCCGAGAGGCGCCGACCCCCGATGGGGATGGAGACGCGGGGTCCCGGGGAGTCTCGATGCAATGAACCAGGAGCCGGGTTGAGAAGGAAGCCGCATGGGCTGAGCTCCCCCAGAGCCGCAGCTCCAGGGAAGGATCTGAACTGCCCCCCTCCATCCCCTGGTGCCGTCCCAGCCTGGACCCCAGCTGTGTCCCAGCTGCCCCCTCCCAACCCCATGGCGAAGCAGCTCCGTCCCTCCCAAACCCGGCCCTGTGGTGGGGTCCGCGGAGCCCGGGAGGGAGCATGCCCCGGGCGGTGAGGGGCAGGGGCAGGGAGGAGGGCAGTGCCCTCGCTGCAGGCAGCAGCGGGCAGAAGCCGGGCTGGGCCGGGCACCGGGATGCAGGCGGGCAGGCAGGCAGGCAGGCAGGCAGGCTGGAGCGGAGGGCCGAAGCCGGGGTTCCGCTCAACAGCGCTGGTTACCTGCAGCTGGACAGGAGGTCCTGGGCTGGAGAAGGAGGAGGAGGAGGAGGTGGAGGAAGAGAAGGAAGCTGGAAGGTGGCCTCTCAGGAGAAGCTAATGTCCAGCGCACAGAGTGGCCAGTGCCTCCGCTTTTTATGTGTTGAGTCGGCTCCTCCCAGCCCCGGCTCCACCCCGGCCCCCACCCCCCTCCCCGCTGACCACTCCCCCCGCCCCCCTGCCCCCGCCCCTCGCGGCGTCCAGCCAGCCAGTCCCCTGCCTCCCCTGCGCGCCCCCCGCCCCCGCCCCCTCCCCTCCCCGCCAGCTCCGTCCCTGAGCTGAGGACCCTGTGGGGGAGGGGGACTGAGCCCCCAGCCCAAGTCCGCCCCGGGCGGGGGGGCGGGAGGGGGCTGCTTCCCCTCCATGTATGGAAACTTCCTTCTGCCCGCAGCGCGGGGCTGGACACGCCCCCGGGGCCCCGCGCAGCCCCCTCCCCAGATTCCGACTTGGAGACGTTGGGGACGGGCGGGAGGGGGGGGGGGCGGGCAGATCCTGCAAATGTGGCGCCTGGCAGGACTCTTTTGCCAACTCAGCCCCCCTGGCTCCTCCGGCCCCGCCCCCTCCCCCCTCTCCCTCTCTCTGGCGCGCAGCTCGCATACCGGGGTGGGTTTCTGAGACCCGCGCGCCCCCCTCCTCGCCCAGCGCCCCGTGGGGACGGCCCTCCCCCCCCGCCCCGCCACATACAGCGCAAATCCCACACTTTGAGCAACACGCCCCCCCCGCACCCCCAAACTGACCAGGAAGCGGCCCCTGCAGCCCGCGCACACCTCTCCGGGCCCTTTCCGCGGCCCCCGCCCCCTCTCCAAGGCGCAGGGAAGAGCGCGGCGCAAGGAAGGGGCCCGCCGCCCGCACCCGCACCCGGCGCCCCGCAGACCCCGCGCCCCGCACCCCGCACCCGCGCCCCGCACCCGCACCCCGCAGTCCCCCGGCCCCCCACGCGCTCACCTGAAGCCGGCACCGACGCCGCCCACCTTCCTGCTGCGTGACATGCGAACCTGGCAGCGGGCGAAGGCCCTCCTGCCGGACACTCCTCTGCCAGCGCCGCTCTGGCCGAGTCGCCGGGGCCGAATGTGCGACGGGGCAGAACGGGGGGATGGCTTGTTTGGGGGGGCGGGGAGCATCCTCTGATCGTGGGGGGGACGGGCCTTCCGGGGCTGGGGCGGACAGATGTTGTACTTTGGGGGGGGAAGGGGTCGGGGATGAGGTCAGCTGTTGTTCGCAGGACAGAGGGGGGCAGAGACAGTCGGAGAGACAGAGTGAGCGGAAAGGGGGGGGGGCCGAAGGGCGGGCGAGAGGGAGCGGGACAGCGAGAGGCGGGCCGGCACAGGGGGCAGGACAGCGGGGAGAAACAGAGCGGAAGGCAGACGGGGCGGGCGGGGCGGGGGGGCGGGCTGGAGGCGCGGGTCTGGGGGGGGCGGGAGGGAGCACGGGGAAGGCTGCGGGGGAAACGGGGCCGGGGCGAGAGGCAGAGAGTGGAGGGGCGCAAAGAGAAGCCGAGGTTAGGGCGCCACGTCGGGGTTCGGGGGCGGTGCGAGGGGGGGCGGAGTGGAGGCGTCCCCGGGCCGCGGGCGCCCAGCTCGGCGTGGGCCGACGGAGCCCTCCGCCGTCGCAAATCCGGGCCCAGGGGGGCGGGGTGGCCGCCAGGCCGCTCGGGCGAGGAGGGAGCGGCCGGCGGACACCGCGAGGGCTGGGGAGGGGGGGGGAGATGACAACGCCGGCGGCCTGCGGGCCGGACTGCCTGCGGGGGGGCCCGCCTCCTCGGCGGAGCGGAGCGATGAGGTAGATGGACGAGGAGGCGGCGGGGGTCCGCAGGCCCGGCGGAGCGCGCCCCGCGACGGCGGCGCCCGGGGTGGAGAGCAGCGCGGACGGCGGCGAGGCGGGCGGCGGCCCGGTGGCGCGGGGCGGGCGGGGCGGGCGGGGCGGCCGGAAGGGGGGGCCGCCCCGGGCCTCCGCGCTCCGCCGGGGAGCAGGCGAGGTCCGGGCGCCAAGGCCCCGCTCTTATAGCCGCGCCGCCCCGCGCCGCGCGCCCGCCGGGCCCCGCTGGCCCCGCGCCCGCGCCAATGGGCGCCCGCCGCCCGCGCCCCGCCCCCGGCCCGCCCCGCCGCGCCAGCCAGGCCGGGGGCGGGGGCGCCCGGGGGCGGGGGCGGGGGCGGGGGGCGCGGGCGCCCGGGGGTGGGGTAGGGGAGGGGCGCGGGGTGCGGGGCCCGGGATGAGTGGGGGCGGGGAGCGGCCCGGTGTGCGAGCGATCCCAAGTCCAAAGTGCGAAGGGCCCCTCTCATCCCGGGTTCCGGGGTGCCAGGTCCCCGGCGCTAGGTGCGCGGGGGGCCGCGGCGTGAGCGCGGTGCGCGGTGTCCCGGGCCCTCTCGGCGGCGGTCGGAGGTCCCCGCTTCCCCAGGACAAGGCCCCACGCGGCGGGGCGCCCCGTGGGCGCGCGTGGGCGCAGGTGGCCCCTCCATGTCCCCCAGTCCCGCTGGGAACGGAGGAGGAGAAGGAGGGGGGTCAGCGCGGGCTTCCGCCGCCAGAGCCGGGTGCCCCCGGAGCCGCGGGGCCAGGGCTCGGTCCCCGCCGGGTGCGGTCCGAGCGGAGAACAACCGCCTGGGGCCGGGCCTGGACATGGGGTGGCGGGGAGAGAGCGCCGAGGCGGGAAACGTTGTCCAAGTCTCACCTGCGTGACCGCGCTCACGGGAACGCAAAGCTGCCGCTTCAGGGCCCCCAAAATGTCAGGATAATGTTTCCCCAGCCTCGGGGCCCCCCAAAATGTCAGGATAATGTTTCCCCAGCCTCGGGACCCCCCAAAATGTCAGGATAATGTTTCCCCAGCCTCGGGAGCCCCCCAACATGCCCCGATCATGGTTTCCCCAGCCTCGGGACCCCCCCAAAATGTCAGGATAATGTTTCCCCAGCCTCGGGGGGCCCCCCAGCATGCCCCGATCATGGTTTCCCCGGCCTCGGGGCGCTGGGCTTGCGTGGACCCGGCTCAGCCCCGAGGGCCGCCCGCGCGCCGGTGTGAAAAGTTCCCGATGTGAACACCCGCGGCCGCTCCGAGTCACACCACGCGCTCCCCTCAGCCCCCGCGCCCCAGCGCCCGTGCCGCCGCCGGGAAGGGGAAGGGGCTGCCGGGGAGGCCCAGGGTCGCGTCAATCACCTCCCCGCCCGCTCGCTCGGCGCGCACTTCGCCGCCCAGTCCCCCGCCCGGGCGGCGGGCGCCGTGCGGCTCTCCCGGAGTCCCCCGGCCCGGCGGCCCCCGACCCAGCGTCCCCGGACCCCGCGCCCTGCCCGCCCCACGACCGCGGTCTTTGCAAAGAGCCAGCGAGAGCGGCGCCGCTGGTTTCGGGGCGCCCGGCCCCCGCCCGTGGGCCGCCCTGAGGCCAGCCAGCCGCAGGCTCCCCAACGGCCGCCGGGGGCGAGCGCCGCCAGCCCGGGGGTAATGGGCCGGGGCCCGGGTCCGGCCGTGAGGCGGCGGCGGGAGGCGGCGGAGCTCACCGCGGGGCTGGGCGCGGCGTCCCAGGCGGGCGCGAGGCCGGGAGCGGGGCCGGAGCGCAGGCTCCTCGGCTGCGGCGGCGGCCGGGCTGGAGGTGAGAGGAACCCCGGCGGCGTCCCCGAGGCCCCGGCTACGCCCAGCGCGTGGAGGACCCGGGGATCATGCCCAAATTTGGGGGTAACTGGGGGCTTTGCCCAGCGCTGCTCTCCTAGACGGGGGAGCTCTGCCCACGTCCTGCGGACGCGCTGCCAGGCCCGGCGCTGGGGGCACGGACACCCGTAAACGCGGGCCACGCAGAGGGCGCGGGGCCGGGGCGGCGGGAGCCGTGCCCAGACTGGGGGACTGGGGACCGAGCGCGCTCTGATTTGGGGGCGGAAAAAGTGAGGTCCCCGGACTGTTGGAATCTCCCGCGGTGGGAGCTGTGCGGAGTCAGGATGCCCAAGGCTCCAGGAAAATAGGGTCCGAGTGTGGGGACCCCTGGAGACGGCTCCGTGGCTGGGGAGGCGGCCCGCACGGGGGGCGCCCCGTGGGTGCGTGGGGGGCAGGCTGGGGGGCCCCCGCAGGATGGGCGGCGGGGAGGCAGATTTGTCGGCGACTCCGGAAACATTTTCCCCGTCACACTCAGGGGGACCGGGGAGCGCGGGGTCTGAAATGAAACAAGCGAACAGGACCGCGGAGCGGGGATCTCAGGGCGGCAGGGCTGGTTCCCGGATTCCTGCGCCGTGGGCTCGGCGCTGGGGCTCGGTGCTGGGGCTCGGGGAGCCGCCTCCATGGGTCCTCGGCGTCCTTCAGGGACTCCAGGAAAGCGGGCTAAATTTGGAGGAGCCCCAGAGTAGGAGCAGGGCTCGGGGGAGTGCAGAAAAGGGAGCTTGTCTTATTTTATTTTTCACTCACTTACTGGAGGTCTGTTTGAGGCGAACAAGGGAAATACCCCTTCTTTTTCTTTCCGCCCCTGACACTGTCTGTGTTTGGGGATCCTTGGCGAGACACGGCTCGAATTTGGGGGTCACTGGAAACTGCCCCGTGGCGGCTGACAGCTGAGCTCCAGGGACCCTGGTTTGTGGCGAGGGCGCTTGCATGGCTCAGGCCTCTGCCGCCTGCAGGGTGTGGGGCCTGAGAGTATTCTCCAGTCCCCAGGCATTTTCATTTTTGGGGATGCCCATGGGGGGGAAATTGCCTACACTTCGGGGAGGGGGCTCAGGAAAAGGGTTATAAAGTCAGAGGACCCATCAGTCAATGTTCAGGGAAAAGAAACAAACAAACAACAAAAAAAAACAACCACTCAGTTGTTTTGTGGAAGGAAAAACTAAAAATCTCCATTCACTTTGGAGGGCTGGAGGCAGCGCTCGGCTCAGAGCCCCCGAAGTGCTGTTGGAATCGGGGATCCAGATAAGTGGCTCCCATCCCCAGAGAACTGGAGGCTGGTGCCGAACTTTGGGGTGAAGGGTGACGAGTCCCCAAACCCTGGGACCTGGGGAACCAGAGTCCAAAATCCTGGGAGTGAGCTGGGGGAGACGGGAATGTAGAAAATGTGGGTTAAATTCAGGGTGTCCCCGGAGAGGTCCCAGTGCCTTTCTGTGACCCGCGTGTAACCGTGGCCGGGGTGGTGGAGTGCAAAGCCGGTGTCTGAGAGGACGGAGCACACCGGACCCGGGGGCCAGGAGCCACTCTGTGCGGGTCCAAGTTTCTGATCAGCATCTGAATTTTAGAAAACCCGGGTTCTTGTCTGGAGCGAGGGGTCTGGGGATTTTAAAAGACGCAAAACGTGGCCCCGCGGAGAACATGTCTAGGCGATTTGGTGGCCGGGCACTCACAGGACCCAGGGTCCCAGGCACAGCATTGTCCTGAGCATGGGTGGGGAGCCCCAGGGCCTGGGGGACCCCAGAGATTCTGGGGAACCTGCAAAACCCAGGTCAGGGGCAGCGGTGACGGCTCCTTGTGCTGGCCATGGGGCGAAGGGCAGGTCCCCGGGGCAGGGACCAGCAGGGCCCCGAGCACTGCGGGAAAACGGCACCCTGTTCCCACAGCCCACAGGAAAGTGCTCAGGGGCTTGGGGGGACCTAGGCCCCCGAGCGGGGACTGTTCGGGACTTGGAAAAGGGCTGGGTGCACTCGGGGGAGACCCCTAAGTCCTGGGGAGACAGGGAGCAACCTTCTGAGGGGCTTGGGGCAATTTGCTTCCTGCGTTGGGGGACCGGGGACTCTTGGTGTAAAATTCTGGGAGCCCGGGTTGGGCCAGTAATTTTGAGGGGCCCCCGCAGGCATTGCCCGGGCTGTGGGGAAGCTGCGCGGGGTGTCCACATTCACAGGAAGCCAGGGAGACCGTGTCCTTAGCACCCACCGTGGTGAGAAGAAAAAAAAGGGCCACTTGTTTGGGGACACAGACCTACGTGCGGGACAGACTGTCCGGGAGCCAGCAGGCTGGCCGTGGCCTCGGGGCAGGGCGGGGGTCCGGGTGGGGGGCCTACGGGGCCCTGAGGGCAGGAGACTCCGTGAAGACAGCCGGGCCACGCTGTGAATGTGGGGGCTCGGAGGAGGACTTCCCGGGTTTGCAGGTCTCTGGGAATTCATGTCTAAGAAAACGCCCAGACCTGGGAAAAGGCTGAATGTGTGTGGGGGAAACCTTGGGAGCAGGACTGCACCCCGGAGGGGCCCAGGACAAAAAAAAAAAGCCTTGTCCGTTTTGTTTTGTTTGGGTTTGGGTTTTTTTTTTTTTTTGGGGTGGGGGGCGCGTGGCTGAATAAGTGGGGACCCCAGAGCGAGGTCTGCAGGAGGCAGGCTGGGCGCCAGGTCCACGGAACCAGCGCGCCTCCGGGGCGCGGAGCAGGGGCGCCTTCCGGGGGACTTGGGGCGCGGGGCGCGGCGGGGCAGGTCCTCCTTCCCTTCGCCTTCCCACTTCCCCCGGAGAGGCCGCCGCGGCCGAGGCCCCGGGGCTGCGGACGGCGGAACCCAGCGGCCGCCCGGGTGCCTCGGCCGCAGCCCCGCGCGGCGGCAGCTCCGGGGGTCCCCGCGCCTGGCACCCCGTGCCCCACTCGCCACCCCACGCGCCGCGAGCCCAGGCGAAGCCGCCCCGGACGCCACCGCGGGCAGGCTCCCCCCACCCGACGGGGCTGGGGGGGGCCGGGGCACCCCCGCCGGCCGCCCCCGCGCGCCCGGAGCGCGGCCCCGGGTCTCACTCAGTCACCAAACGGCCTGAAACCAGTTCGCTGTGGGCGAGGCGAGTGAGCAGAGGCCGTGGGAGGGAGGGGGGAGTGGGGGCAGGGGTGGGGAGCAGGCCTGCCCGGATGGGGGGCCGGGGGCTCCTTTCGTTTTCTGCAGATGTCCGCCGAGGGCCGCCTCCCCGAGGCTGAGACCCTGGGATCAGAGTGGAGCGGGGGGAGGCAGATTCTGAACCCAACTAGACCCATGAGCTGCTGTGGGTGGGTGGGCTGGGGGAGGTGGGATGGGGTCACCCCTCAGGACTGGGCAGTGTTGGGGAGGTGGGGCAGTGACCCCCTTCCCCAGGGATCTGTTGAGGGGGGGGCGATGTCAGCGAGGAGGCGCTGCTGGGCAGTGTAGCACAATGGTTTGAGGCTTGTGGCCAGGACACCGGGCACTGCTGGTCCCCAGGGGCACCCCACGGGGGACCCCTGCCAGAAGGGGCCGCTGGAAGGCAGGGGTTAAGGCCGAGGGACAGGTGTGACAGGCAGGCTGCCCCCACCCCAGAAACACAGCCCCTTCACCTTCCCCCCAGCCCCAGGCATGTGGGGAATGTCCCCTCCAAAACCCAGCCCCCATCAATCACCCCTCGCCCCCTCCAGGGACATCTGGCCTGTGGATCCCCCAGGACAGCCCCCTCCTCTGCCTCAGGCCGCATGCGGGCCTGTGCCTACAGAGGAAGGGGTGGCAGGGAGCCCTGCTCCCTGCTCCATGGTGACTTGTGAATTGTGGGGTGGGGGAGTGTTAAGATCGTCTGTAGGTTGGGGTCCCCGAGAGCCCAGAGCAGAGTCCACATCCTGGTGGGGTGGCTGCTCAGGGCAAACGGAGGGACACGGGGCTCCCGGCCCTGCTGGGGCCTCTCCACTCTCCTCCGAGCCCTGAACCCTGGGCTTCCCAGGCGGGTGGCGGCCGGCTGGCTGCAGGGGAAGCCGTTAGACCCGGGCCTGGGGGCCTGCATGCCAGCCGCCCGTGTGGGGCGTCCCCTGTGTCTGGAGAAGCTGGTGCTGGGAGACACACGGGACCCTACAGGTAGGAAGGAAGCCTCCCGGTGCCAGGCTGGGGTCAGGGCAGAGGGGGGGGCACATGGCCTTCCCTGGTGCTGCCCCAGAACCCTCGCCTTATTTAGTCAACAGTGTGGCCGCAGGGCAGGCGCAGGTCACCCCATGGCTCTGAAAGGACACTCACCCCAGCCGGGACCCACCCTCCCGACTCCCCGACTCCCCGACTGGCAGCCCCCCAGGCCTGGAGGGCCCTGCCAGCCCCCGGAGCTGGCTGTGGGGCGGGGGTCTCCTGGCAGAGCTTGGCTGGCAGGGACCCCGGCCCTCGAGCCGCCCTCCCCAGCCCTGCCCAGCCCGGCAGCACTGACCTCCCCTCTGGATCCACAGGCACAGACGAAAGAGGATCAGACTCGGCCCTCGGACTGCCCTGCGCCCCCCACCAGCTCCGTCACTCTCGGCCTTCCCGGCTCCTGCAGTCCCTCGGCCCTCGCAGTGGCTGGCCTGCCTCCTGCCTCTGGCTCCCAGCTTCCTCCCCCGATTCTGGCTCCTACCTGGCTGCCCCCCCCCCTGGGCCCAAGCCCAGAGTCTGCAAACCCGGCTCCAGGGCTGAGGGTCCCCAAGCGGCCCCTCCCCCCCTGTGGGGCTCGGACTCCCACTCAGGGTCAGCCCCGACCCCGATCTCCGACCTCCGACCTCCGATGGGAAGCGGGGCCAGATGCCCAGGCCGGAACCAGAACCAAGGGACCGACAGCACCAGGCATCGCCCGCCAATAAACCAAAACCCAAAAGCACGTCAGGGTGTCAGGGTGTCAGGGTGTCCGGGTGTCGGGTGGGGCAGGGAGGGGGCAGCAGGGCTGCTTGGGGAAGGAGCCCCATGTGGCCCCATTGTCCCCCTCGCCTGTGAGTGAACTAGAGGCGCCTAGGACAGCATGCTCTGGGTGTCTCTGGGCTGCAGGCCCAGGGGAAGGGGGTCACCTGCTGGGTGAACGGGTCCCTGCAGGCTCTGAGGGCGGCCCGTGGCTTTTGTGTCTGGCTCAAGGACAGAGCCTGCAGCACCCAGGACCCTGGAGCTGGGCAGGTCCTGGTCGGAGACGTTGGCCTCCCCACCCAGCCACCCCCACTCCCTCACAGGGAACCTGCACCCCAGACAAAGGGCCCCCCCCACGGTTCTCCACTCCCAGGCTCAGGAGGCTTCTCCCTTTGGGCTGTGCCTCACGTGCCCCTCAGTTCCCCACGCCTGCCGCCCCCTTCCCTCCCCCACCACAGGGGAAGGAGTGGGAAGCCCAGGTGGCCAGTGCCCTCTCCTCACGCCCCTCTCCCTCCCCTTCCTTCCTCTTTCACTCTCTGCACATTGACCCCTGCCTTCCCCCTCCCGGCTCCCCGCTCCCCTCTGACCTTCTCCCAGGAGTGCCCTTCGGACCTCGCTGCTGCCCCCCCTGAGTCCCCAGGAGGCAGACACGCCTGGAGCGGCCGAACCCCAGGCCCGGGCTCTGTGACCGAGCACCCCCGGCCTTGCTGAGCCTCACCTCCTTAAAAGTGGGGGGCGGGCTAGAGCAGCAGGGGGCTCCCAGCACTGAGGGAACCTGGTCTGGCACCTGGAGAGGGGCCCCTGGGCCCTGCCCGGGCGGAGACACTCACCTCGAGGGGCCGGGGCCGGGGGTGGGGGCGGCTCAGTGCTGGGGGGCCGGGCGGGCGAGCCAGGGGCACAGGCCGCAGCAGCCGGCCTGGGGGCTGTGCTCGCGGGCGGCTCTGGGCGGCTTCTGCCGGGGCCTCCGCCGGGGCTGGCGCGCGGGCCGGGCCGGGGGCTGAGCTGGGGGCTGAGCTGGCGGGGCGGCCGCGTCCTGGGGCCGCGGGATGGAGTCCGTCCCCGCCTCCTCCTCCTGGAGCTCGGCCGTGACCCTCCGGCCCCTGGGAACACAGGGAGGTGGTCGCTGTAACCGATGGCCCCCCGTCTCTCCCCTGGCTGCTGGGGGGGGGAGCCTGGGGGTCCTCAGGCATCGTGTGGGGCTGCTGGGGGTGGTCCCTCTGCTACTTGGGGGGCAGGGGGAGAGGCTGACAGGGCACCGCGAGCTGGGCTTTTGGAGCCAGGCCCAGGAGGTACCCCCCACGGGCGGGAGACCCCTGTGGCCGGAAGACCCACTGGGCTGGGGCTGGGGCTGGGGCTGCACACAGGGCCTGTCTTGGGGATCACAGCACGAAACAGGGGAACCTTTCCCACGCAGCCACCCTGCCGGGAGTGGGGAGGCAGCGGGGGTGGGGAGCGAGCCCTCTCCTCAGTGGACAGGCCAGCCGAGCCCGGAGCCCAGCAGGCACTGGGCAGTGGGAGAGACCTGCCTGCACCAGGACAGCTCGGGCCCCGGAGAGCTGGGCACACGGGCAGGGGGCAGCCTGGCCCTCAGCCCCTCGGTGGGGTGGTGACCCTCCCAGAACAGGGCTGAGGGGTGCAGGGGATGAAGGTGGGAGCCTGACTTTTTAAAAAATTGTATTAAAAAAAAACTGCTTCAAAATCTCGGCCTCTGTACTGCGTCCTTTGTCTTCGGTTGGGGTTGGGGTGGGGGGTTCAGGGGAGCTCCTGACAGCAAAACCCTGCCCCTCCCCTTTGCCAGCACAGCTGCACCCCACCCCCAGGGCAGCCCCCCCAGCCCCGAGCCCAGGCTGCCAGCAGATCAGGGAGGGAAAACGGATTCTCCTCGCCCCAGCCCCGGGCTCCAGGCAGCCCCCCGGCCACCTGTCTTCTCCGTCCCCTCGGCCGGAGCCTCACTCCGCTAGCCACCCCAAGCCCCAGACCCCAAGCCTGAGCGGCACCCTGAGCCGCTGCCTGAGGGAGGGAGCCCCGGTACCTGTGCTCCAGCGGCTGGGTGGCCCCCGAGGCTCCCGGGCGGTGGACAAAGAGGACCGGGGAGTCGCTGCTGCCCCAGGCTTTCTGCCCCAGCTGCCCGGCCGGGGAGCCGCCGGTCGAGGAGCTGCCGGCCGGGCTGCTATGAGCAGCTGCGGCCGCCGAGGCAGGGGGGCTCAAAGTGGCCGAGGAGGGGGGCGAGGCCGGGGCCGGGGAGATGGTGAAGGGCAGCGTGAGGGCTCGCATGGCAGCGGGGCCTCGGCAGCGGGCGGGCGGCGTCCACCACTGAGCAGGCACCTGCCACACGCCAGCTGCGTTTATAGCCGGGCCCCTCGTCCTCCCGGCCCCCCCACGCTGCCGTCCCTCCAGCCCCTCCAAATTTGGGTAGCTCTGCACGGAGCAGCGTGGCTGGGGCCTCCGGGGCAGCTGGCCGTGGCTCTGTCCCAAGCCCAGGCACAGGGGGCGGGGGGGGGGGGGGCGGGGGGCGGGGGTGGGGGGTGGTGGAGGTTGGCCTGCCCCTGACCCCACCGAAGAGGGTTAGTAGGCCTGCACACAAGCCAGGAACATGCCTGCTAGCCAGCTGGCCTGCCCGAGGGGGGGCTGACTTCACATGATTGACACTTGGCAGTCACCCGACACCCTGGAATGCGAGGGCTTGGCACGGGTAAAATGGGGGTGGGGCCCCCGGGGGAGGCGGCCGATTTGAAAGGGGAGGTCAGCAAAGTGACCCCTCGGTGGTCCCGGACCAGCTCCCGCGCAGAACGGTCCCATTCTGCCTCCTCCCGGAGCCGGGACACGCGTGTGGTGCTCTCTCCCTCCCCGGTCACACGGGCCCCGCCCCGCACACGGCAGGAGTCAGTGCCAGGCCCTTGGGCACTGCCGCCGGTGGCAGCAGCGTGGGGGCAGGGGTGTCCCGCTCCCACCTGGGGACACGGCTGAAACCCCAGGAAGGTGCAGCCCTCAGCGGTCTGACCAGGAGGGGAGAGCATCCCCCGACTCGACTGAATCTCACCGTCAGGGAATGGAACCGTCTTCCCCAGGCCTGCGGGGAGGCAGGAGCAGGCAAAGGCGCGCCAAGAGGCCAAGGCGGGCGCTCTGCACCAGGCACCGCCTCCCCCGGCGCCCGCCCCTGCGTTCCTGCACCGGCTGGTTCCCCCGACTGTCACAGCCGGCATCAGCGTTAAATTCTCCCGTTTCCTACACAAGCTCCACACGAAGGTCCTTTCTGAGCTCCATGGGACCACGGGGTCCCGGGAGGGGGCACGGGGGGGCAGGCTGCCCTGAGGGAGACTCATTGGTTGGGTGGCCAAACAGGACACAGAGGGCCAGGTCCACACCCCCCCGCAGACGGCGGGCGGGGCTCTGGGCAGGCAGGGGTGAGGGATGCGGGATGCTCAGGGCCCGAGCAGGTTCACGGCACACGGAGAGCGGTCAGCGTGAAGCAGCGTGGCTCTGCCGGCCACGGCTCTGTTCTGGGCTCCGTGGCCTGCAGGCAGCATGGCCTCTGCCCCGTGTCCCCTGCAAGGTGCCACGTCCCCATCGGAAGGTGGGGCTGGGACCCCCAGCTGCAGGCGGGGCTGGGGGGGGAGAGGGGCGACCAGGCCGGACAAGAACATGGCGGGGGAGGCCCGGGGAAGGAGGCGTCCCAGGGGGAGAGCGTGGGCACCTGTTCAAGCCCACAGGCCGGACCCCTGCCCCATGGGGACCTTCCCACCCCCCGGGGGGTGTCTCGAACCCGAGCTGTGTCATTTCTACCCCCCAAAGGGGTCCCACATGGCAGGCCATTTCATTCCACCAGAATCTTGCCACCCAGAGTTTTTAAGCAGGAGGATGGGAGAGGCGCGGCTGGGAGGGCCCCCGGGGGACTCAGCCCTGGTCCCACCGAGGCAGGGCTGAAGGCACGGACCCTCCGGACACAGGGGCTCCGGGGGCACGGGACAGTGAAGGGAACACCAAGGAGCCCTCCTGGTGCAGAGAGAACCCAGAAATCCCCATCTCCGGTTTCCCCGACGTGGCTCTTTACGTGGCCTCGTGCTGACACCTGGTGGTCACTTCTGGAATCACAACGTCACAGCCCAAAGGTATTACACATTCCGGACCCCCTCAGGAGGGGAGCGGGTGGGGGCAAAGCAACCCCATTTCTCCGACAAGGGGAGCCCCCGGCCCCCGCACGGTCGGGGTACAGGGAGCTCTGCACCTTTGCACTGGGTTTGAGTCTCTTGTCTGCCTCCATCCTGGCATGGCCTAAGGGAACCCTTCCCCAGGGTCTCTGGCTCCCTGGGATGTTGGGGTACAGGGTGTGGGGGGTCTCCCGCCTCAGGAGGTGCGGAAAGGCGGGTGCCCAAAGCCAAACGTGACCCCGGGACCCTCCTGAAGCTCCCGTCGTGTCCTGAGGCTTAGAGGAAGCTGTGTTACGTGTGTGTCAGAATAAAATGAGATGTTACAGGGAGGCAGAATGTTGGGGGGCCCCCCGCCCCTCAGACAGGCAGGGACCCGGAGACTGAGGGTGGGCGTGGTCCTCTGCTGGCCGCCGTTTCTACCCGCCCCAAGCTTTCAAATCTGGCCGGAGCCTGACACCTTGTGGCCGCCTGCGGAAGTGCAGTCACAGCCTCCGAAAGCACCTGGCTTCCCTGGGCATCAATACAAAAGGATAAGGGCCCTTAGGATAACGGGGCGTTTGACCAAACCCAGGGGTCAAGGGGGAGGAGGTGCCCCAGAACCCCCCTCCTGAGGCCCCGTGCTGGCAAGTCACGTGGGGCTCAGCCGCCTTCGTGGGGGCAGTGGCAGGCTGGAGGGAGGCCGCCCCGAATTGCACACAGCCTGATGTAGGGTGCACTGGCCCCTACGGGGTCCCTCCCGGGTCCTGTGGGAACGCACGGGGGGGGGGGGTCACACCTCCACAGCGGGCCCTGCTGTCCCGGGGCGCCTGCCTGCAGGGACCCTTCGTCCCCTGCGTCTCCTGCAGGTGAGAGGCCACCAGGAGGGCTCAGGGCACCCTGGCCAGTTTGGCTCAGCGGGTAGAGCATCAGCCTGCAGACCAAAGGGTCCTGGTTTCTGTTCTGATCAAGAGCACATGCTGGAGTTGTGGGTTCGGGTCCCCAGAGTGGGGCGTGCAGGAGACAGCTGTTGATAATTCTCCCTCATTATTGATGTTTCTCTCCCTCTCCCTTCCTCTCTGAAATCAATTTAATTTAATAAAAAAAAGAGGCCTCAGAACTTGGGGAGCAGGAGGCCGGCCAGGTGGGGTGGGGTCTCTCGATGACCAGCTTTCTTTCTGGTGAGCTAGGGAGGCTCCGGCACAGGAGCCACGGTTCTCAAAACTGCCTGGTACTGGCACAAGAACAGACATATAGACCAGTGGAATGGAATAGAGAACCCAGAAGCCAACCTGAACCACTATGCTCAATTAATATTTGGCCAAGGAGGTATAACATACAACGGAGCCAAGACAGTCTCTTCAATAAATGGTGTTGGGAAAATTGGACAGATACATGCAAAAAAAAAAAATGAAACTAGACCACCAACTTACACCACACACAAAAATAAACTCAAAATGGATACAGGACTTAAACATAAGACAGGAAACCATAAAAATACTAGAGGAATCCACAGGCAGCAAAATCTCAGACATAGGCCAAAGCAATTTCTTCACCGATAGATACCGCTTCTAGAGCAATGGGAGCTAAAGAGAAAATAAACAAATGGGTCTACATCAAAATAAAAAGCTTCTGCCCAGCAAAGGAAACCATCCACAAAACAACAAGAAAGCCCACTGTCTGGGAGAGCATATTTGCAGATGTTGTCACTGATAAAGGTTTAATCTCCAACATCTACAGGCAGCTTATACAACTTAATAAAAAGAAAATAAACGATCCAATTAAAAAATGGGCAACAGCCAAAGCCATTTTGGCTCAGTGGATAGAGCATCAGCCTGCAGACTGAAAGGGTTCGATTCTGGTCAAGGGCATGTACCTGGGTTGCAGGCAAATCCCCAGTAGGAGGTGTGCAAGAGGCAGCTGATTGATGCTTCCCTCTCATCGATGTTTCTAACTCTCTATCCCTCTCCTTTCTCTCTGTAGAAAATCAATGAAATATATTTTAAAAAATAAAAAATGGGCAACGGACCTAAATAGAATCTTTTCAAAAGAAGACAAAAGGAAGGCCAAGAGACATATGAAAACATGCTCAAAGTCACTAATCAGCTGAGAGATGCAAATCAAAATGACAATGAGGTACCACCTCACACCTGTCAGAGTGGCTGCCATCAATAAATCAACAAGCGACAAGTGCTGGCGAGGATGCGGAGAAAACGGAACCCTCGTGCACTGCTGGTGGGAATGCAGACTGGTGCAGCCACTGTGAAGAACAGTATGGAGTTTCCTCAAAAAACTAAAAATGAAACTCCCATTTGACCCAGTGATCCCACTCCGAGGAATGTATCCTAAAAAACCAGAAACACCAATCCGAAAGGACATATGCACCCCTATGTTCATAGCAGCACAATTCACCATTGCTAAGATTTGGAAACAGCCTAGATGCCCGTCAGCAGATGACTGGATCAGAAAACTAAGCTACATCTACACAATGGAATACTACGCTGCCATAAAAAAGAAGGAATTCTTACTGTTTGCAGCAGCATGGATGGGCCTGGAGAGCATTATGCTGAGTGAAACAAGCCAGTCAGTGAAAGAAAAACACCACATGATCTCACTCATTTGTGGATAATGAAGAACATTATAAACTGACGAACAAAGAGGTAGATACAGAGGCAGTAAAGAAAACATCCAACAGACTGTCAAATTACAGCGGGAAGGGTGGGGAGATCTGGGGGAGATAGAGAACAACCGAAGGACTTGTATGCATGCATATAAGCATAACCAGTGGATGCAAGACACTGGGGGTGCGGGCATGTACGGAGTGGGGTGGGGCAGTGGGAAGACACGTACACATAATACCTTAATAAAAATATGAGGGGGGGAGGCCTCGGAACTTGGGGAGCAGGAGGCCGGCCATGGGGCTCTCTTGCTGGTGAGCGGGGCCGGGTGGGGGGGGGGGTGCTCCGGCAGAGGGACCCCGTTTCCTAGAGGCTCAGTCAGATGGCTCCTTCCCTTTCTCGTCCTTCCCACCCTGAGCCCTCCCGGCCCAGCTGCCTCCTGCGCTGGGAGCGGGTGGTGTGCCCGGGGCCCTCGGAGGACCCCTCGGCTTCCTGTGCCCACGTCGCCTGGGGAGAGCCAGGCCCAGGGCGCTGGGCTCCGGGCAGACTGTGCAGGGGGTTCGAGAGCCCTCGTCCCGCATGGGAGCTGGGGGGGGGGGGGGTACTGCTAGCACCACAGCCCGGGGCCTGGAGGGGTGGCCCTCCCGCGTCCGGCCTGGGACCCCGCAGCCCCTGTGGGTGGGTGTGGGCGTCTCCTCTGATTCCCTTCCCATGGATGAAGGGCTGGGGCTGGGGCCGGGCCCACCGCACCCCCA